GATCTCCCATTTGTGGCCAATAATATGCACGTTTAATCAAAGCCAATGTTCGGACTATCCTTGGATGTCCTACCCACTTGGTGTCATGGCATTCCCTAATCACGTCACATTGTAAATTATTTTAATTAGACACAAATACCCGTTGTTAATGGTGTATAGCAACCCGTTTTCAACCCAAAATCTCCTTGTCTTGCCCTCTCGGACAGCCTGCATTAACATCCTTTCCATTGGATCATGTTCTAATCCTCGTTTAATTTTCCCCAACAAAGTACCTTTGGCTTAGCTGATTGCTGCAAGTCCTGCCTTCTGTCTAAATGGATCTACCACCACGTTCACCTGTCTAGGCTTAAATTCCATTACATAATCTAACTTCGCTAAGAAGTCTAGCCAACGAGCTTGCTTTGGACTTAACCTCTTTAATGATTGGAAGTAACTTGTAGCCACATTATTCGTTTTGATCACCAAATGGGAACCTAAAAGATAATGATGCCATACTCGTATGCAATGTACAATGGTCGTCATTTTTTTGTGCATTGTGTAGCACCGCTCTGTGACATTCAACTTGCAGCTCTGAAAGGCAATGGGATGGCCTTCTTGCATAAGCACACCTCCAATGGCAAAATCTGATGCATCCATTTGTACTTCAAAGCTATTGTTGAAATTCAGCAATGCCATCATCGGCTCAGCCATGACCGTCGCCTTTAAATCATCAAAGGCCCTTCGAAATTTTACAGACCAATCCCACTCTTGGGACTTTTTGAGCAAGTCCATCAATGGGGCCGTTCTAGACGAGTAGCCTTGAATGAAACGTTAGGAGTAATCCACCATCCCAAGGAAAGACAGCAATTCCATCACATTTGTGGCGGTTCCCACTCATTGATTGCTTTAACTTTGGCTCTGCCATGAGCAGCAGACCATGTTCGATGATATGCCCCAAGAAATTAACTTCTTCTTTAGCAAATAAACATTTCTCCTTTTTTTATGAACAATTCATTTTCCCACAACACTTGGAAGATAGTTTTCAAGTGCACAACATGTTCCTCCAATGTGTTGCTATAAATGACAATGTCGTTAAGATAAACCACCACGAACTTATCCAAGTAAGGATAAAATATATTGTTCATCAAAGTGCAAAATGTGGCCATAGTATTTGTTAAACCAAACAGCATGACAAGCCATTCATAAGAACTATATTAAGTAATGTATGTAGTTTTGGGCTCATCTCCTTCCGCAATTCGAAATAACCTTTTTGCAAATCAACCTTTGTATAGAATTTTGCACTACTAAGCCGATCAAATAAATCTACAATCAATGCAATGGGACATTTGTTTTTCACCATCACCTTGTTTAGTGCCCTGTAATCTACGCGCATCCGCAACTTCCCATCCGACTTTTTTTGAAATAATACCGGGGCACCGTAGGGTGTTTTGGACGGTCTAGTCGTTCTCATTTGAACTAACTCCGTTAGTTGTTTCCAAAGTTCCTCCAACTTTGAGGGTACCATTCGATAGGGTGCCATCACCAGAGGTTTTACCAGGTTTCAACTCGATGCGATGATCCACTTTCCTCCTAAGTGAAAGTTTCTTTGGTAACTCTATGGGCATAACGTCCTTATTTTCCTCAAGGACTTTTGTAATAGCAACCATCAACACATCATCATTAGTAGTGACTTTGGTAGCAATCGACAATTGGGCAATAAATGTTGGCTCCCCCCATTTTCATCCTTTCGCTAATTGTATAGCCGAAAGTTGTCCCACTTCCGTTCTTTGGAAATGGTAGGAACCATACACGTTGATACCTTCTCCAAAATGCAAATGAAACCAAATGAAGGCATGGGAATTGCATTTACCTTCATCAAGAAATCTAGGCCCAACACTAGCCTAAAATCCTCCATTGGTGCAACTGAAATATCAACTGGTCCATGACACAAATCCAATCGCAATTCAGTCCCTCGAACCACGCGTAGCTAATGGCCTAGCACTGGCATTCACTATCTTCAACAGTCCACCTCATGGTGAATGTTCAGTCCCTACGTTCATGCTTCATCCTCCATTATGAAATTGTGTGGTCCCAGTATCAACTAGCGCCCATGTCTGCGTCCATTAATTTTAAAAATCACGAACATCAATCTTTTTTCTTCGTTTGCTCTCGGAACAATTTTGGTATTCCAGGCATTGAAAAGTTGTAATGAACCCATGTGAATGGCACCATCTTTGCTTTGGAAAGCTTTCGGTCGAGCCTCTGAGATAGACACCAAAGATCCAAACTTAGGGCAATCTTGCATGAGATACAGTCCTTTGCAAATAAAGTAATTGCAAGGAGCAAAATTACCCATCTTTTTGTCATCATACTCTCTCTGCCAAGTAGCTTGTTTGTTACCACCGGGTTTATAACCAATTTTGGGATTTGGTCTCCAATAGACGTACTCCATTGGTTGTCTTTCCTTACATCACCCCAGCGTTTGCCAAAATTTCCTTTGGTTGGTTTGAAGTTCTTTGCTTGCGTCTCCCTACCTCTTTGGAACTTCGTCAAAGATTCAACAACCTCAATAGCCTCATCTACATTATTAACCCCACAACACTGTAATTCTTGTCGCACCCATGTAGCACATCCATCCAAGAAATAGAATAGTTATACATCATTCAGCATGCTTGGAACCTGAAGCATAAGGGTCGTGAACTCTTTGACATAGTTACGAATTGTCCCTTTACGTTTCAATCCCCTTAGTTTCTTACGGGTCTCATACAAAACATTCTTTTGGGTAAATTGCCTTTTTAGCTCCTTTTTGAACTCTTCCCATCTTGCAAGCTCCATTTCAACTTTGACATACTTTCGACGCCACCAAAAAGACGTAATGTCGAAAAGATACATAGTAGCTGTTCGAACTTTCATGGCTTCCTCAACAAGATTCATGCCCTTGAAATAAACTTTCATTTGCCATAGGAAGTTTTCTATATTATTGGCATCTCTTTGGTCATCATAGTTTTTAGGCTTCGAGTACTCAATCCTCGGGGCAACATCATTAGTAGCGGCACCTCTGCTTGTACCGACTGTGGATTGTTTGTATCGCCAAAGCTCCTTGCTCATTTTTTCAATCATTATGGCCAATTGATTTACTTGCCTGTGCATGGCAGAAACAACATCTAAAACTTTGGTTTGGAGATGACCATAGTCTTCCACCTCCTGGACTTGTCAGGCTATCGCAGCCTGAACATCATTCTCCAATAATGCTTGTGTGTCCATCACTTCCTAGACATTGGTTTGGAGAGTTTCTAACTTTCAAATGGCGTGGCCCTCCAACGCCTCAAAGGAGTTTTCTAGAGATTTGAACCGATCACCCATATTTGCCATGATTTGGTCAAATTTATCCTTCATGGAAGTTGCTTTCCCAGTCTTACTACTTTGCCTCGTGTTTTCTTTCCTTCAATTGGGATAGCACCAAGTCATCTATTCTCAATCTCAATAACAATAGTTTGTTGAGAATTTGCCATTATAGAGGCATACAAACGAGGTTCTGATACCACTTATCACAGACCTAGTTTCATACCCGAATAGTGCGACCTTAATGTTTCACAATTTTCATCTCTCACAAGAAAACGTTAAGTCGACCTTTAAATGTTTATAAATGATTTAACCAATAAGACTAAATTATAACAACTTTGAGTAGCGGGTACAAAGTAGAAAAGATAAGAAAAACAAGTAAGTTTAGGAGAACTCTCTTTATATATAAATGAAAGGAATATTTTACAATCTCTCTCAAATATTCATCTCACTTCATTCCATATATTTACAAATAAGATTACATCTCTATTTATAAACAAAATCTTACAAGTTGTCTTGGAATCAATGGCCAAGATTAATTTTGATCCAAGGGCCCTCATTGTTTGCAAGTTGCATTAACTTCCTTTGATCAAGTAGTAATTCACTGCACTTCCAAATGCAAGTTGTATGTATCTTTCCAACCCTGTGCTAGTTGGTATCAAGTGATCAATTTCTACAATTCATATGGAAGTGGACAATTTACTTTCATTGTAGCTAAATTGAACTTTGCTTTCCCCTTGATATTACCTTGCAAGTGGGATAAGAGACACAAGTGGACAAGTGGTACAAGTTGCCTACTTGCATTTACTCCTCCCTAAAATAGCGTTTTTGACTTAGAGAAACTTCATTTTTGTGCTGGCAAAGCTACATGCATCCCCAGCTTGCATTCTGTCGTCCCCAGCCCGCGTTACATCAACACAGTTTGTCTATGTCTGTCTGTATAGTCTACTTACGTTCACTGTTGCAAGCAATTTCGTCCTACCGAAGCGTCCTACCTACGCTGTTTTGCGATCGTTGTCGAGATGAATCGATCACGACCTGAGGGATGTAAGTCACAACTATGCTTCTCGAGAGTGTTCTCTCTCTCTCTTCTGTCTACATGTCAATTTGGAAAATCAACAAATTAGATACTTAAAAAAATAAATATAAAAATAAAGAATAAGAAGAAAAATTGGGAGTTAATTGTTCCGATGGTCACTGAACTTATGTCCACGTCTTTGATTGGTCACTGAATTTAGGTCCATATCTTCAATTGCTCATTGAAGTTTAAAATGTCGAGTTTTGGCCACTAAACTTTGAAAAATGTTGTACATTACTCACCGAACTTTAAAAAATATTGTACATTACTCATTAAATTTTGAAAAATGTTGTACATTACTCACTGTAAACTCGATATTTTTCAAAATTCAATAATTACGCTAGTAAGTAACTTACGATATATTCCAAAATTTAGTGTCAAAACTCAATATTTTAAATTTTAGTGAACAATCTAAAATATGGATTAAAGTTCAGTGAGCAATCGGAGACATTGACTTAAGTTTAATGATCAAAATTTGATATTTTAAATTTCAGTGATCAATAAAAAATATGAGCTCAAATTTAATGACCATTGAAACAATTAACTCAAAATTCAGCAAGTCACAGTCCTATTTCTACAAGTAGTCAAACCAGTACTCAATCATGCCAGAGCCTACTAGAAACACACTGTACAACACACGATTCAACATATTTATGATTCCCGTTCATATTACTCTAGATGTATTCTAGTTATAAGCAAACTCACATTTCTTCCAAGTTTCTTGATTTATTTATAATTCTGTACACGCATATCGATACAGCACCCCAAAAGCATAAACCGGGGGGATGTTTCAAGTGAATATTTGGTGAAAAAGTGTAGCCATAAATAAAGATGGATGTTCCTTTGAGACCTCTGAATTGTAGAACCCACTACAAGATCAAGCCGTTTCTTGGATTAGTCCCTCAGGGAACAACTAGCATATTCTCCCAAGTAAATTTAGTTCATCCAAATATCTATATGTGGTGATGATTTTGAGCAATACCTATTGTGGATATAAAATTTCATTGTAATTTGGATGCATACCTAATTGTGTTGATGGGGTTAGTTTAATTATTTATAAAACTTTGTTCTATTAATTTTTATTTAATTTTCCTCTTTTGCTTGAATTCTGAATTGTGTTGTCTCAAGAAAGTTTGTGTGATACAGTTTGTGCGTGTATGCGTACGTGTGGTATTGAGTTCATAGTTAGTGTTTGATAATTTCATTGATAAAAGAGTCAATAGAACATAGTACGAATTGCTACCTAAGTGATAAATTTCCTTTTGTTCATGTTTTTTAATGATGTAAATGACAGAATGAGTTTCTGTGAACTGAGGTTGGGCAGCAAAATTTTTCTTATCTTCTCTGAACCTTTGCTTGCAGTCTTCCAAATGGCAGAAACATGGCACAATGGCTCGGGTTTCTTATCAAGTTACCGCACGTTCTGGTTCGTTACTCTGATTAATCAGTTATGCATAGTGTTCTGTATGCTACAATACCACGTTTCTAATTATTTGACTTTTATTATGTAATATAGACTTCTCGAGAAGAAGGCAAAGGAAGTTTTCCACACGAAGGCCCAAGGACACTAAACCGAGGGACTTTATGCCAAGAATGCAGGTCCCTACAGGCACACAGAGAAGGAATCAAAAGAATGATGAGGAAAACGAAAGTCCTGATGCATCACCATCCAAAGAGTTCGAGGGATCAAATAGGAAAATAGGAGCTGAATTGAAAATTACAACCAACGACGAAGAGTTTGTCAACAGCACTCAAGTGAAGGAAGCAGATGAAGAAAGTAAAGATGAAAGTAATAGTGGTTTGAAGGAGGTTCTGTCTTCTACCGAACCATCACTTGATGCTAAAATAAGTCAATTTTCTGAAAATGGAGAAATTGACACCGTTTATGAGGATGTGATGGAATCAACAGAATCAGAAATAGCTTCTGAGAGGGTGTTTGAGGGAAAAGTAACCACAAATGGTTGTAGTGATGTTGTAGAAGATGGAACAGTTATCAAAGAAAAGCAGATCCGTTTTATTAAAGGTGATAAAAATGTTGAGAAAGAGGAGTCTAAAGAAGGAACAACTATATCTGACTCTGGAAGAATAGCAGCAGATAAAATAGATTCAGGAACAAAGGAAATTGGAATAGTTAAGAACAACGATGTGAAGAGAGTTGAAAGCATCAAAATCAGTGAACATCTGGTTCCAAAACCTGAGTCAATAGAGGAAGGCCAGATTTTGGTCGGGGAGGAGAAAAGGGATGAAGATTATTCTTCAAAACTAAAGTTAAAGGAGGATGCAAATTTACGTAAAGAGGTGTTAGACAGGCTTGCCAAGGAAAATTTTAGAAAAGGAAATGCATTGTTCTATTATCCTGAGGTGGTAAAACCCGATCAAGATTTAGAAGTATTTCTTAACAGAAGTTTCTCCGCTTTGAAAAATGAACCTGAAGTCATGATAATGGGGGCCTTCAATGACTGGAAATGGAAATCATTTACCATAAAGTTGAGCAAAAGCCATCTCAATGGGGATTGGTTCTCTTGCCATATCCATGTTCCTAAGGAAGCATACAAGATAGATTTTGTGTTCTTTAATGGACAAGATGTGTATGAGAACAATGAGAGAAAAGATTTCTGCATAAATGTAGAAGGTGGTATGGATGTGTTCGATTTTGAAAATTTCTTGCTTGAAGACAAACGCAGAGAACAGGACGAACTTGCTCTACAACAAGCTGAAATGGAAAGACAACAAGAAGCACAAAAGCAAATAGAAGCAGAAAAGGCTAATCAAGAAGCAGATAGAGCTCAGGCAAAAGAGGAAGTTGCAAAGAGAAGGAGAATTCTGGGAGAGTTGCTGAAAAAGGCCAAGAAATCTGTGGATAATGTCTGGTACATAGAGCCTAGTGAATTTAAAAGCGAGGACGAGGTCAAGTTATACTACAATAGGATCTCAGGATCGCTTGTGCATGTTAAGGATGTTTGGATTCATGGAGGACTTAATAATTGGACGGATGGGTTGTCCATTGTTTCAAAACTCACCAGATCACAGAAAAAAGATGGTGACTGGTGGTATTCCAATGGTAAGCGCAATTATGAATTTTCTCTCCCATGCATTGTGCCATATAATTATTGTGATTGAGCAGGATTAGAGTTATATATATTGATGCCTTAAAATATTGTGCAAGACAAATCTTTGACTCATGTATTGATCAAATCTTAACTACCGGGAAGAAAGTTCTTTCAGTTGGAGTTGTACCCAGTGCTGAATTATCATCATGGTTAGCTTCGTGATTGTTGATATTATGACTGATTGTCATAGGTATCAATTGATGTTTTTCCACTTGCAGAATTTGTAATGCATATCTATTAGCTAGCTATACAAGACCATTGTTTTTTTCAATGCTAAAACAGCTTCAGCTGATAATCTCCGTAGCAGTGGAAGTCCCTTTGAATTTAAAAGTGCCATTACGTGGGTATAAATCCAGTGCGTTGTACAAATGGTATATAATGTGGCATAGGAGGTAATGCAACTGTCGAGAAAAAATGTTCATCCTGGGTTTTCTCATGAGCCAGACAAGTCGCTATTTTTTCAAAGAAGTGGGAGATTTCAATGAATTTCATTCATAAAACTGAAAGGAAAAAATCTACGTAAATATTATTGAATCAAATTGTAAATTTCTGGTTACATTGAACCTGCATGGTAAACTAATGGTTTTACTGCATATTTTCTATTCATATCCATAGAATTACAATAAGCTTCATTTGTTTCCTTCTTTTTTGACCCTATGCCTTGCAAAGTGCCTATAAACTGTTAACATTCATCTGAGCAGCTCATTTGGTCTCCAGTTGTTGTACCCAAGGGAGCTCTTGTTTTGGACTGGGTTTTTGCTGACGGTCCACCTCAACAGGCTATTGTTTATGACAACAATAATCTCCAAGATTTCCATGCCATTGTCCCAAAATCTATTCCAGCGGAATTGTATTGGGTTGAGGAAGAACAAAAGATATACAGAAAACTTAAGGAGGAGAGGCATTTGAGAGAGGAAACAGCAAGAGCAAAGGTTAGTGGTTCTGATATCAAATCCAAATCTAAATGTAATCACTTCAGGGCTCCTAAATTTGTGGTGTGATTTTCTCGAACTCCTGAATTTGATGCTCTTCATTGTGCCTGGTTTATGTGTCTTTGTCTTCCTTCACTTTTGACCTTCCATTAACAGGCTGAGAAAACAGCAAGTATGAAAGCATTAACAAAGGAAAGGACTTTGAGGACATTTTTGTTGTCTCAAAAACATATTGTTTACACTGATCCCCTAGATGTCCAAGCTGGAAAGACTGTCACAGTTTTCTATAATCCTGCAAACACTGTCCTAAATGGAAAACCTGAGATCTGGTTGAGATGTTCATTCAATCGCTGGACTCACCATATGAGTCCTTTGCCACCTCAGAAGATGTTTCCTTCTGAAAATGGCTCTCATCTTAAAGCAAACGGTAAGATCGAATTGTTTTATACTGCACCAAACTGATTTTGAGTTTCCATGGTTGTATATGGGGAATATTTTTCTATGCTTTACCAGCACTTTATTGTACCGTACTTAGGTATTACAAGAAACAAGAAAACTAAGAGATCAATGTTTTCAATAAATTTTCCTGTTTTTCTTTTTTAAATATATTCCTTCAATATCATTTCCTTTTCTGAACATGCTTACCTTACATCTAGTATTTATCAGAATAAAGTATCGCTGACTGGTATACTCGTAAAGGATATGTGTTTAATGCTGTCGAAAATGGAACATAATGGTGGATAACAAGCTTGAAAACACGTGCTCTTCAATGCTGACAGAGTAGGGCAGTCATTTGCTCAGTTATTTCTGGTGGCTCGTGTACACCATAGAATATGTTAATAACTCCTCTATGAGGTCTATCACTGAGAGTCATGTGGATTATATTATTCCATATACTAAAAGTTGTACTGTCTTACTCTTGAACTAAATTATCTCTCTGGGTGTTTGCATGTCCGTCTCACTTGCCTACATTTTCAGTCAAGGTTCCATTGGATGCATATATGATGGACTTCGTATTTTCCGAGAAAGAAGATGGTGGAGTTTTTGACAACAAAAATGGGATGGATTACCACGTACCTGTATTCGGAGGCATCGTGAAGGAACCCCCCATGCACATTGTACATATTGCAGTTGAAATGGCTCCTATTGCGAAGGTAATATATGTGCTATTTTCATTTTTTAAATTTCCCTTAGGGTTACTTGAGCTGCTGTTACTCAAGCTAAAGTTTCTAAGATAGTCCATTATGTTTTTCTGCTTATAGCTGCTGTCTCCTTCCATCTCAAGTCTGGTTCAATGCATCATATAAACTTTGTAACTGGAAGCATATATTTTCAGTTTATATTGGGTTAATATAAACCAATTCCATATAATTAAGGCTCATCTTTCTGGACATAGTATTAAGATTTCATAGTGATGAAGACATCCATTTTTTATTTATTTCGATTTGGACTCTTATTTACGTTTTGGACTTTTATTTATATTTATGTTATTGGACTTGTACAATGGGTTTGGCTCTAGCCCACTCTCTTTAGGGTTTGGTTTTACTATTTATATTTGATTCGTTGTGTAATTCAAACAGTTGATGATTGAATAAAAATATTGGTGGTTTGTTTTTTCTCCTTTCCTCCGGTCCTTTCTCCTTCTGCCTTCTCAACTTGTGCATCACAAAATGAATACGGTATGCTATCAAAGTTGTATATTAAGATAGACAACAAATTGCAAGATCCTCTTGGCAAGTTGCTAATGTTATTAGCGGGTGGCATTTACAGAGGCGGAGGTAGTGTGGGGCAATGCTGGGCTCCCTAGCCCATATTAATTTTTAAGAAAAAATTTAGAATTTTGGCCAAGATATTAGCATTAGCCCAGCTTTAATTTAAATCTCAATCCAAGTCCAATGCTCAATTATTCAAATTGTATTAAAGACGCTAAAATTATTAATTACTCTTTTCAAGACATTCATAAAATGTGAATATTTTATTATCAAATTAGATATTATATTTAATGCATGTTTGACTCAAATTTATAATTATTAAGTAAATTTTGTTATAGATAATTTGTATTGATTAGATCTAAAAGTAAATTACTTATTTTAATAGTCAGAGATACTACGTATTTTTCTAACTTACGTATGTTTTCATTCATTACTAATTCATACTTATAAAAAAAATACTTATTTTAACCATAAAGTAGATATTTAGATCAAAATAAATAGCTTACTATAGATTTGATATTGACAATAAAAAGAATATTTATTAAAACTTATCTATTTATAAAGTAATCTATATCAACAATAAAAAGTATATTTGTTAAAACTTTTAGTTGTTTGGAAAGATTGGTTGTCAAGGTTATTAGAAGAGTACCCATTAAATAATTTTTTAAATGTTTACTGGTGGATATGTATTTTTGCTTAATTCTATCATGATTCGGTTAGTTTATATTTTTTAAGGTAAGCATTGATTTTCTATTTGGTAAAAAAAAAGTACAAAAATTTAGTGGAATATCTTAATGTGAGACATCTAAACTTTTTTTATTCCATTGAGCGTCGTATACTTTTTATCGTGAATGTCACGAAAATAGCCTTCGAAACTCGATTTCTTGTGAGATAAGTTCATTCAAAATTTTTTAAATTTCAACCCATCTTAATATCATTTTCTGGCTCCGCCCCCCGCATTTAGGAACAGTGTGATAGAAGACTGACATCCTGGAAATATACTAAGAATGATTCTATTGATATGCTAACCTTTTGATTCTTGTTTGGTGCAAATAACACGATAACAATGGAAAGATTATCTAATGTATGTAGGGGCAGAGCCAGGAAATTTGTTCAGTGTGGGCATAATTTAACACACGTCGAACATTGAATTCTGGTCATAAATTTAATGATGATAAAACTATAAAAAAAAAAAATCTAAAAATGACATAGTTTATAATTAAACGTGTTCTTTGCAAGTTTTCATATCTTGACAAGTGAAGTCCAAATCAACCTATACCTAAAATCAAACAAAATCATGGGATATTGCTTAAAAAAAAAAAAAAAAGTTTGGGCCTAAAAATTCAGTGTGGGCATATGCCCGCACTCGTCCTAACATGGCTCCGCCCATGAATGCATGGGTCAAGACTCATCTGTAGTAATCCCGCCATCCCATTGTTATTTCTACATTTTCCATTCTGGGAGTTCCCAAAAAAATTACATGATTCACAAAGAATGATATCATTTTCTCATTATACTGGCACAAAATGACAATTCAAAATGAAAGGAATCATTATTTTTGTCCATTGATAGAATATTTGAGTTTAATACTGTAAATAGATTTTCTGAAATCCATCTCTCCCATCTGTGATAATATATTGGAAGGACTTCACGTGTTCTCTATGATTAAAATAGCTAAGTTTGCTGTGTTAGATTTATTGAATGCCGTGTGTCATCTGTTCTATGATTTCCTCTCTTTGGGGAAAATGGGAAGCCTCCTCACCCCAATTTCATAAGCTGTAGAATCTAAACTGTGTGTAATATGGTAAGAGGCTGAAGTGTATTTGGTTCCATGTATTTTTTTAATTCGTCTACTTACATAATTTTGTCAAATTTTGAATTGTATATAAACTATAATTCATGTATTATGTCTTTTGAAGTCAAATGTAATGATTATAACAGATACTATTGTTATGATCTTTTGCAGGTGGGGGGTCTCGGTGATGTTGTCACTAGTCTTTCTCGTGCTGTTCAGGATTTGAACCAGAATGTGGACATTATTCTTCCAAAATACGACTGTTGGAAGTTTAACAATGTAAGATTCAGTCTGTTTCATTGGCCTGAGTGTTCTCACATGTCTTTCAAAATGATAGAATTCAGATTGAGTTATATATCTTGTTTGAGTTCGGCCTTGATATATGTTTGACAGATTTGAGTTTCCTCAGAAAGGCTAAATCCTTTTTCATGTGAAATGAGAAAAATAGAACAGTTGAATGACCTACTACAAAAACAAGGGTTTGGGTGCCAGTTATTTGAAGAATTATAAAATATGAACAAAGTTCCTAGGTTGTCCCATTGCCAAAACTGTAACCAAAAGTAGTTTATAATCTAATTGAGTTACTTTTCAAAGACTTCAGTTTTAACCTTGTAGATTTTGTCCCTTTGATCTTAATCTCTTTTGATAGATGGTGACATAGAAGTCTATTCTCAAGTTCTTTTCTTTTGTTTATTTTTATTTAAGCCCCATAATTATATGGAAAGCTTTTGGAAGTTCCAGCCCTTGTGTTTTTCACGTTCTATTGTAATCATCATCATTATTACTACTGCTGTTATTCCTACTCCATGTTATTAAGGTAGATCTTGGGCTTTTAATCTAAATATTTTTCAGTTCTCATATAACCTGGAAAGTGTGATTGAAATTTATCCCTGGATGCTCTAGTCTGTTAACAATCGAACTTGTTTTCTTTGAGCTTTGTTGAGGTCAAAGGCTAGAGTTGTATTTGTTGGAAAAACGTGATAGTCTTTCTATTGTGATTAATAGGCAGTTAACTGTTTGTTGTTTAAGACTGTAGTTCTCTCTCTCTCTCTCTCTGTTATCTTTTGATTAGAAATTGAGTTGATTGCAGCTCCAAAGCAACATAATTACCTTGCATCAATTATTTATTTATTTTTATTTCTCATTATGTACCTATGGATGTTATGATAACGCTACAGAATGATATGTCCCTTGTTCCTCTCCACTTCTCATTCGTTATGCAAGGAAAACTTTGGCAATAATTTTGGCGTGTTTTTAAGCTTATAAAAAGTGGATCGAACTATTAGTTTATTCAGAAGCCCTCTTGCTTTAACCTTTTGCCTAGGTGGTGATTCATTGACTCTTCTGAAATTACCCTCTCTGTTATTTATTTTAAGCTTCCTCTCAGAAACTAGGAAGGGATTGCAAAATCTCACTAGATATGTACAGATACGTGTTTGTATTTACAAACAAACAAGTAAATTTCTGTTTTTCCCTTTCTCTTAGTTATTTATGATTATGATGCAGTTCGTTTTCTAGTTGCTCGCTGCTTTCTGATTGTCATATTATGCACCAGAATGTAATAACACATACAGAAAAGTTCTTTCTGTTCTGTTACTGCATCAAATATTCCCTGATACATGTTGACCTAGATTATTGTGACATTTATCCTTTAGTAATGATGCACCTCTATGGAACAGGTGAAGGATTTTCAGTTTCACAAAAGTTATTCTTGGGGTGGGACTCAGATAAAAGTTTGGTTTGGAAAGGTTGAAGGTCTTTCTGTCTACTTTCTGGAGCCTCAAAATGGGTAATCACTAGTGCTACCATCTTGTCTGTGGCTTGTAGTTTGTTTCTTTTTGTTTGGGTTAGTTGCTTTTCTCCAGAGTCAGGACATCCGTTCTGCTTCTACTTAATTATCATAGTAATAGCCATGCATACTTTTTGATTTTTCTTTAGTGTATAGGAGATTGTCCTTTGTTCACAGTAGTTGGGCTGCTGGTTATTGAGTTAACCAGGTGATTCTTAGTACAACTGCACATATAGTTGTACCCATCTGATTTGAAGATCTACTTATTTAATAGATCTTGCTGCATTATAATTAATTAATTAAACACTGGCTTAGAACTTGTTTTTGAGCCAAATAAGAATTCTAATCTGCAAAATATGTAGGGCACAATACTGAACAAACTTGCTTATTTTTCTGGTGCTCTTTAGTTATACCATGTATTTCTCTATCCCAGATTCTTTTCGGTAGGTTGCATATACGGTCGTGGTAATGATGGGGAAAGATTTGGTCTCTTTTGCCATGCAGCTCTCGAGTTTCTTCTGCAAAGCGGATTCCATCCAGTAAGCTCCAATTCACAACAAGCACCCAGTTTGATATTCTCAATCTAATTGATTTATTTCTAATATTGTTAGCGCAACTTAAGAAATCTGAAGTGCTGATAAATATGTTTATCTAGTAGCATTCTGATCAGAGGCAGCGAACAAGTGATCCTAACAAGAGAATAGAATACTTGAGTTTCTGATGGTTTTCGATTTTTCTTCTCTGCTATGTTTAGGCTGTATTTTTCTCTTAATATTGTTATGTCTATGGTGTCTAGCTAATTTTGTGGAACATACTCCTCAAGCTAATGTTATCAGACCCTTTTTCCTACTCCAGCCTATGATATATGCAAAAGTTACACTGATTGCAACGTAATAGATGTCTGTTTACTCGTTAAATTTATATTATTTCATATTTATTCAACTGGTGCCTATTGTTTCTTCCGTATAACAGGATATAATTCATTGCCATGACTGGTCTAGTGCTCCAGTTGCATGGCTGTATAAGGAACATTATAGACATTATGGCCTCAATAAAGCACGAGTTGTTTTCACCATCCACAACCTTGAATTTGGGGCAAACTTGATTGGGAAAGCTATGTTGAACTCTGACAAGGCTACAACTGTAAGTGTTTGAAGAGCTCCCCGTTAAACTTTATCACTTTGACCTTGTTTGCACGTTGCATAGTTGAACTAGATATATCAGTTGGGTGACCATGTTTGGTGATGCAGAAGCAGAGATTTGAATTCTTGTATCTAAACTTCATATTCATGGCTGCAGGTATCCCCCACTTATTCGCAAGAGGTTTCTGGAAATCCTGCGATTGCTCCTTACCTTTTCAAGTTTCGTGGCATTCTAAATGGAATTGACCAAGATATATGGGACCCTTACAATGATAAGTTCATTCCTGTAAGCAAAGCGCAGTTTTAACTATACTCTGTTTATTCCTGTTTCCATTTTTGGCCAAGGAAGAGAGACATCACTTTCAAGAATTTTAGGGTCCGTTTGGTTTGCGTTTTAATTTTGAGTTCATTTTCAATTTTCAATTTTGAGGGTTTGTTTTAAGATTGCTGAAAACACATTTGGTTTTTCGTTCTAAAAAACTGTTTTTAAAAACGAAAAACTTAATAACACGTTTTGAAAATTTGAGAAATTATTTTATAACAATTTGTTCCGTGAAATTTGATTATTCAGTGAAATAGAACAATTTTATGTTAATATATTATCAAGTAAAATATACATTTTATAGTTGATAAACCTTAGAATTTTTTTTCCCGCTACAAAAGTAGATGATACATTAAGTTATGAAAAAAATAAAAAATTAAAGGCGTGGAAAATTTTCATTTGTGTTCGTTTAAATATATATTTATAGAGAAGTTTCCAATTTTATGATCATATGTGTTCTTGGATTGCCTCATGCTGGAATTCTTTCCTTTTTCCATTTTACCCTTCTAACTAAGAAATGAGAAAATAGCCCATTCAACGTTCTAGATTAGTGCACTAAATTATAGTTGATAAAAGGACACTGAATTTTAAATTAAGTGTATTCTAGTATTGCTTTAGCATATATGTGTACTAATTCTAGTGGACCAGTTGACTGGTCTTGAAGATCAATATATCTCCGCTATTTTCTAACTTTTTCCAAATGCTTAGGGTTGAATATCAAAATGCTGAAATTAGTTTTCCTCCTTTAACTCAATCTGTTTTGTTGTTACAGCTGTCTTACACTTCAGAAAATGTTATTGAAGGCAAAAGAGCTGCCAAGGAAGCTTTGCAGCAAAGACTTGGGTTAAAAAAGGCTGATCAGCCTTTGGTAGGAATTATCACTCGCTTAACTCACCAGAAAGGAATTGGCCTTATTAAACATGCTATCTGGCGCACCCTGGATCATAATGGACAGGTTTCTCTGAAGTTTCTTTGCTTCTTTTTATCCTCTTCCTCCTGTTAACGAATGACAGTCTCATTCTAATTAATTGCTGATGGCGGGTTCTTTGATAGGTTGTATTGTTAGGTTCAGCTCCCGATCCTCGGATTCAAAATGATTTTGTTAATTTGGCCAATCAATTGCACTCTTCGCATAATGATCGTGCACGCCTGTGTCTGACATATGATGAGCCTCTATCTCACATGGTATTTTTCTTGTGAAACTTGTGTTTCTTTCTTTAGATGCATGTTTACCTATTACATCTGCTGCTGTGCATTTTCACTTATTTATCTTCCTAATATTATGCAGATATATGCTGGTGCCGATTTCATTTTAGTCCCTTCCATATTTGAACCGTGTGGACTAACTCAACTCATAGCAATGAGATATGGTTCAATACCCATCGTTCGTAAAACTGGAGGTAAGTAGTTTTGTAATAGTTTTTAGTGCACCGTGAACCAATAATTTTTCCCAAGAAACATCAGGAACCTATTCTCAATGTAAACGCCGTTTATCAATTGGATAATATCATCTGCTTACTGTAGATATTGGCAAAACTGTAGTAATCCTGTTGCTTCTCTTTGTGGTCACCCTAGATTTTTTCTCATTCAATACCAACTGGGTGTGAATATAATTGACGACTAATAAAAGATTGGCAGTTTTGAGTTACTTAAATCTTGTCTGTCAAATTTGCTTTGCAGGACTTTACGATACAGTTTTTGACGTTGACCATGATAAAGAACGAGCACAAGTTTACTGTCTAGAACCAAATGGGTTCAATTTTGATGGAGCAGATGCTGCTGGTGTTGATTATGCTCTCAATAGGTGAGTCGACTTTGTGTCTACTCTTAAACACTTGCTCTAAAAATGCACACCTGGCTTTCATTTCTGATTTCTTTTGTACTTTTTGAAGAGTATTTCAGACTTCTTTATTTTTATTATTATTATTTTTTTACGAACGACAAAGAATATCCATATGATTTGTCATATAAACAGGTTTAAAGATACCAAATTAAAATCCGCCTTAATGCTCATCTGAGAGTGAGGCGTGCGAAAAAGGCCTCACGGTTGAGGCGCTGATTGTGAGGCGGTTTTTGGAGGTGTACGCCTTAGTTGTGTGAGCCACATGCTGCTAGTACCGCCTCAAGGCTTCTTGTTATTTGATATATCCCCGTACAATAAGAATTTCAGTATATATCTGCAATAACTCTCTATCCAACCAAAAGTAAAACAAAAATAAAACACAGATGAAAAAATTGCGCCACTTGCAAATGCAAAACGCTATAAGGAGAATTCTGCAAACCACGTAAGCACAAATAGGTTTTAAGGAGATTCTATCGTTGTCTATTTCTTCAATTCTTCTTCCATTTTTTTTTTTTTTTAAATCATTTTGCATATTACTACTGGCTATAACTTACTTTTACTTGATAATTTTTAGAGCAATCTCTGCTTGGTACAATGGACGAGAATGGTTCAATTCATTATGTAAGCGTGTTATGGAGCAAGATTGGTCGTGGAACCGACCTGCACTTGATTACTTGGAGCTCTACCGTGCTGCTCGAAAGTGAAATCGAGAAACGGTTTGTACATATTCTTAATCCGGATTCAATATAGCTCTGCCTGTGTTTAAAACTAAAGTCAATAAAGCACAACATGGTATGGCTGGTCTTAAATTTTATCGTGGTTTTATCTTCTAGTTTATGATTGTAACGTGGATTATTTCTTGATTATTTATCTGTCATTATTCCAATTTCAAGTAATTATCAACAGAAATCTTTTTACCCCAACACGGAATGCAGCAAGTTTCGTGGTGATATCTAATCAAACTCAAGTATTCGTTGGGCTGATTAGATATTCTGATTTTTGTCCAATTAAATTTCTTACTTGGGATTCCATACAATTTTCATGTTAGATAGAAGATATCATCATTTCTGTTCGTAAAAGAAATTTTGTTCATTGAAATTTTAATAAAATGGCTGATTAAATTTTGTATTATTTAACTGTTTCAAGGTGCCACTTCTCATTTTTTAGTAAATTCTAAATGCTTTCTTTCACTTTCTGTGCCCAAAGATTTGTTGGAATTAATTGAATTTGATTTGGGTTTGATTTGGGTTTAAAATATTAAATGTAATATTTAATGATATGGGTCATTGCAATTAATTTAAGTGAATTGGAAAAGTCTCCAATATAGGCCCATATGTTGATAAACCCATTTTAAGTGGTTTTTATATGGAAAGGAGTCCCACATCGAAAGTTTACAAGAAAATAGTCTTGTTTATATAGTGGGTTGTGTAAATAATATATAATTTAATATGTTACCTACCACTTGGCTAACTTTAGCTAGCCAAAGGCTAGCAAACTAGCCAAAGGCTAGTCACCACTAGAGTGGTGCTTCACACCACTAGCACCGTTCCCCGGACCCGGACCCGGACCCGGTCCCGGCACGCGCACGTCGCAAAGTACGCATTAGGCGCTTTAGAGGCGCACTTGGCACTTCGCACGATGCGTACTTTTTTTGACACACACACCTGTTCCATGAGACACTTCAATCTCTATAAATAGGGAACCCCAGATTCGTTTTTTGACACACCAAATCAATTACGAATTCAATTGATTTCTAAAATTCTTCTATCTCCATATTCTGCTCGTAAAAAAAATCTCTTATACTTCTGTCGTTATTCCGTTCAAGTACTATCATTCATTGGTTCGACCGACAAGGTTGGTATTGTGCAGTATCGACTTTGGAAGGAGCGTTGTATCTTGGGAGACAGACGTCCGTAATCCCGTTTGCACTTCATTGGGGGGCGAAATCTGTCTTAAGGAGATTTGCTTACTTTATTGGCATACCTCGCTTCATTTACTTTATTGGCATACCTCGAATTTCCGACAACAAGATTATGTATTATATGTTTTTCTTCAGTCCCTCTGTCCTGATTTTGCTTTTCACACGGATTAAAAAATCTTATTTAATGTTATTGAAAAAACATTTTTTGTCAAAATCTTTCCTAATTTGCCATTATTTATATTTGTACAATTTTAAGATTAAGTGGAGAAAAATGGTTATAATTAGGCAAATTAATTAAGGATATATTAGTAAATGAACAAAACGAAACATTTTCAATAAAGAAAGATGGTCATATAGATGGGACAAAAAAAATAAAGAAAGTAAACCTTTATAAATGGGTCATGAATGAAAGGCAATTGAAAATGTCATGAGATTGTTTCATACAAATTAAAAGTATCCCAACAAAAGGGAAAGTAATCATATGTACAGAGGTAACTCAAACAATTCAGAGACCTTTTTGAAGATAATAGTATAACGGTGATTCTTAATGGAAATCAATATAAGTTGGTGGCTCGAATGAAATTATTGATATTTATACATTTAAAATATCTTCCTTTTTTTTTTTTTTTGAATAATATTGTGGATTCATAAGTTATTTTGTTGCCAACAGAAATTTGGTTCACATTTAATTTTAATAATTTGGCATTTTACGGATTTTATTGTAAGTCAAAGGTTCTACTTGTCTTTTGAGTTTCAATGAAATCAATACATGTTGATAGTACGAAGTTCGAATGAAATTACTGACACCGATAATCATCTAGGGATATTTGTTGATAATCACCGATGGTGCTTACTATCTAACAAAATTATCGTTATACATAATTTATTATATATTTATAACTCAACATAACTTTTTTATTAATATTAATTTTATATTTTGACATTTTACAGATATCGCAAGAAATCGAAGTGAACGCTACCTGTGGCTAGGTTTTGTTTTCATTTTTCTAACAAATAATACCATTATTAAAATAAAGAAAGACAAAAATTTGGATGTCTTGAATAGGGGTCCTTTAGGCAATCGTTTTACTCGCCTAATGCTCTAGGCAGCCCTATAAACATAACAAAGAACAACAAAAATAATGTCATGCATGTTTTAATAGAAGTAGGGGCGGATCCAACCTTGAATTTGGACACGAACTGCAATACAAATATATATGGATTTATCTTTTTAAAAAAAAAAAAAGTCAACATTTTCAGCAGCGGGCACAGGCTATAGCACGGTCGAGCCCGTGCCTAGATCCGCCAATGAATAGAAGGATTAACTAGAAAAAAAAAACTAAATTTTTCTAAATATTACTTACCAAACTTAGACGAAAAGTTTTGACATACAGAGACCTGTGCGGAGGACGTGATTTGAGGGCATTACATGCAAGAAAATGAGAAGTTGACATGAACATCCACTCTTACGTCCCTATTCATCTAAAGCCACTTCCGATTTGAATTGAAAAGACCTCCCAGTCCCACATTAACATTGCATTGATTTCCAATGCCAAAACTGTGGACCAACCGCATATCCCTACGTGTACAGTGAGTTCTCTCTTGGATGAGCCTGAATAGAAAAAGAAAATGCAAGCATATATCTATAATTAAACTTACCGACCCGATAGTATCAACTTTGAGAACATCCAGTTTGTACATTGATGGAAAATGTTGTTTAATAAATCAATAAACACGTGTGTGGAAAAGAAAGAAGAGATGGTAGCCAATACTTTGGCCTATACGACCGCATAGGCCAACAGGCCATGCGTCGCATAGCCATTAATCGAAGCATGGAGGCTGGGTTTTGTATAAACCATGCGACTGCATGGGAATACACCATGCGGTCGCATGGTAGTAATTTAGTGACCGTTGGATGTCGTTTCTAGTTAGTTTTTTGACGGCTTTTGGAGGGTTTCTTATAACCTTTCAACATGGTTTTGGCACCAATTCGTGGCATTAATTGAGGCCTATAAATAGGCCATGGATAATCAATGAAAAATATTACAAATCATAAGAAAAAACTCTTGATAATATTTGTAATCATAATCTTCATTCCACAAAGAAGAAATTAAAGTTTTCTTCATCCATATTCAATATTCCCTTTGCGTTTTTCAAATTTTGGAGAATTTATACAAGTGCTTAAGTATTGATTCTCTACAAGACTTGATCACTCTTACAAATCATTTGCCGCGAGACCCTTTGAACACCAAAATTGTTATCGAGAGGAGGTAAATATCGTTTGAGGACAACGATATAATGTTGTGTTTGAACCTTTCATTTCGGTTTGTTCTTCAAATTTATTTCATCTTCTTGATATCACTTCTATATTTTTTCTTCTCCAACTCTGGTGGCGATAATTTCCCAACATAAATCATTTCTATAAATTGTCGTCCCTAGCTTATTTAGTTTGCCAGTTACGAGTTATATTTTGCCATAAGCTTTTAGTTACCATTGTGTGATTTCTTTTAAAGTATATATCTGCGTGTACGGTAACATAGAGATCGATGTGTGAAAAAATAACTAAATCTCATTAGTTATAGAGAAAATGTGTTACAACAAAAGTAGATATACCTCTCTAATTAAAGGTGAACCACAATAAGTAAAAAAACAATAAGAGAATGCTATTTATCACCAATTTAGATGGCATGGGACATCCTAATTAATAAAGTTGTCATATATTCTCTATTGGAGAATCAATCAGGATGTTCATTATCATGTAAACTGGTAATTATCACAACAAATGATGAATAGCATTGCTTGTTTTTTAATTATTATTTTATTTTTTAAGGTTTGTTAATTATTACTCTTGAAACCGATGTTAGAACCGAATTCTGGCTCTCAAGCTCACTCTATCGTTTTAATTGCTGCTGTTTGCACAATTATCTGGGCAATAATCCCCAAACCCAGGAGGGAGGGCATTGAAGAATGAAAAGTTGTAAAAGATAGAAGTTAAAACAAAATCAAAACAAGCCACCAAAAATCTCAATGTGCCATCAGCCAACCAAGTACCTCTACTCCGTTAGCACCCTCTCCTAGGCATCTTAATGCAAAGCTTAGTTGTCTTCATAACTCGGATAAGGCTACAGAAATCACTGATCAATCCTATTCTTCCACTTTTCCCTATCAAAATCCAGACTTCTGATACTTCTCAGGAATTTAACAAGAGTTTCGCTACATGGGCCCGTCCATCCAGAGGGCGATAAGGATATGGACGGAATAATTCATTTCACAAAGTTGCTACACATGCACTATTTTGTACATTATTTGACATCCCTTTATGTATCATAATCATGACCCGATAACCCCAGTTTAATTCGGAATTTAATTCCCGTCACCATTTCTTTAATGTAAAACCCAACTTCAAGAAATCTGATTCATATACCAATTTTTACTCTAGTGGGCAAATATTGGAATCTTGACACTTGGTTTTTTTGGGTTCTTTCAGATATTCAAACTTCTCTTCTTTTTTTTTTTTTTTTCATCTCTAATCACAACTTTGTGTGGGTGTTTTGGACTTTTTACACACAGAAAAATTTAGCTTTCAGTTTCTTCAGTTCTAACCACATTTTCAGATAAGAGGATATCAACTGAGATCTTCATGTGAAGGCAATTATTTTGGTTTTAACTTTTTGTTTCACTTTCCTGTTTAGATTAGATGGCGTCTCTCTTAGTAGTAATTTTTGTCTTTTTTTTCTCTCGTATTTTAGGCCCTTTATATCTGTGACTTTCTTTGGAAGTTTTACAAGCCACAGAAAGGTTGACACAATCCGTCCCGAATCACCTTAATGGATTCGACACGTGTCATGCGCCGATGATAGAAACCAGGTAAACATCGGATCCACCACCAAGGCAACTTGACTTGCTTGATTGAAAAATATTTTTAACAAAATTTTGACAGAATTTCCCCTTGAAATATAAATTAAAACCACTGAACAACAACTAATTTTTCTCAAATCAATACCTATAATATAAATAGGATATGCTAATCCCTCAAAATACAAACTATTCAAATAAAATGTCGGCAAATCAACATTTCCTTTCTTTGCAACCAACATTTCTTAAATATACTAAAGACACCAAATATGCAGTGAACCCATGATAACATTTTCTGACATAAACTACATATAACTCAAAGAAATATATACTGTAAAGTAGGCCATACAACCTATGACGTATGACTCAATATGGCGGAACAACAGGCTCCAAATCTGCTCAATTCAACTGCTATCTGATAAGGAAAAAGGGGGAAATGACATATAAGCTTATAGCTCAGTGAATGGATAATTTGCGAACAAATATACTTTTTCCATTTCTACATATTTTCTGAAAATTCTAGCTTTATTAAATCTTTGAAAAATTCTGAAATCTGGTAACACTTTTAAAACCAAAACATGATTGCATCATACAATTCTTTGTTCTTAATTCTAGATAAGTAGATGTAAAGTTAACGAATAATTTGATATTCATGAAAATTTATGCAATATTGCTACTGGTCAATACTATAAGCTGAAAGTTTTACTCTGAAAACTGAATTAACTGAATTCCATAATCTGAAATCTGAGAATTGAATAAATACTGAAAAATCACGCAAAAAAGAGTACCCAATGAATAGTCTTACTCATGTACAGAGTAATCTCGATTTACAAGGCAAAACCATTCAAATATGATAATCTGATAGCTGATAATCTGGTCATACGTACGCAGAACTGCCCCAAAGGCTAATCACCCTAATACACGGCCTAAAACCTATGTGTGTACGAGAGTGGGTCCCAAAGACCTCTGATAATATGGTCATACACTATGGAAACACATTCACGATAAAATCACTATAACTAGTTATGCACTGTCGAAACATATTCACATCAGTGCAAACTGGGGTAAAATCACCTGGGTTTTTAAAAATAACTTTAACTATACTGAAACATGTAATAAGAATATAACATGCTACTAAAATAATTTAACTGAACTGAATTTAACTTTAAAAAAAATTGATAATAAAATTCATTTTATTCTGAAAATCATGCTATGAAGTCAACTTTATAAAATAAATAACTTTAAAATTTAAAAAAGACTTATTTCTGAAAAATAAGTTTTATCTACTCACAAAGTTATAGTCTATGATGGTTTCGATATTCTCGTCGCCTCATCACTTTCAAATTTCGAGTATGATATCATGCTCTCGCTGTAATAAATTATATCCCTTCACAAGCGTTCCTTGAGTATTTTCCTACCATTAGAAATAATAATTTACCAATGAAAACTTCACATATTTTATTTTCAATCTCATAATCCCATTTAGAGTCATTAACAACGTATACTTCTTTATATAAATTATTTCAACACCAAAACGTCAAATATTTAACACTTAATTTAGTTCAAATACTAAAAATCCACCAAAATTAGATGATTGACAAAACTAGCACTATAACTCCAAAATATTGAAAACTGGCACCAATTTCTGAATATTGGAGTCTGTCACCGGAAACATTGACAGAAATAACACCTTTCTGGGCAGAATTTCAAAACTAGTACCTGTTTTTGCAAAAACTCGAAAATTGCTAAAAAAATAAAAAATAAAAAAAATGAGAATTTCAACCTCAAATTCTTAATTTAAGTTTTTAGCATCACATAATTCCAAGAATTTCAAAATAATATGCCTTTATATCACAAACCCATTTCCAAAGTTTCGACTTTCTTCAACACTAATTTCCAAATACATATTTCTTTGACATATACTTGTTTTAATCATCAATAACACATAATTCTTGCTAGACTTTGAATTACAGCAAGTTTTCCATAACCCTTAAAAATTTAATTCAATAAATTTATACTTACCATTCTAAACCAAATGAGAAATTGAAGAATTTGAGAACTCTAGCTTGAAAATTCTTCTTCTCCTCCTCCTCTTCTTCCTCCTTCTCTCGGTCTCTCTCGATTCTTCTCTCTCTCTTTCCCCAAAATATATGAGAAAATACATAAAATAAATGTTATTTAGTGGATAAATATTAAATAATTGCAAGGCAAGTCCACCATCTTCAGACAATATTACATTTAGTCATTTCTTTTCCCATAATAGAAACGAAATCCTTGGATTCCTTTATTATATCATTCCTAATCTTCAATTACTTGAAATTTCAATTTAAGTCCCATAAAAGTTATTTGTTCAACTTAAGTCCTTAATGACTTTGACTTTGACTAAAAAATGAGGGGTGTGACAAAGGTAGTTTCTGCTATTTCACATAAATTCTGCTACCATTTTTGTTGGTTTGGTTTACTATTCAGAGAGGTGATTCGAGATCACTATGAAAAGTTTGCTTCTTTTTGGATGGTTTTGATACAAAGACAAGGTAGATTCCTGATATTATTCTCTTGGACTTCGCTATTTGATGTACAAATAGGTTTATTGTATTCTCTTAGACTCTGACACACCTTTTTTTCCTCTTATTAATTCCATTATAAATTTCAACCGCGCTTTCGATCTCATCTATATAGAGAACTGTGAAAGCGGTTTGTGTCGTTTTCGGGCTTTTCCAGGCCATGGCAGATGTGCAAAGGAGAGGCAAAGCATTGGAAGATGAAGATTTTCAAGAAATAGAGGAGTGGCCTTCGCTCAATGAGTTCTCAAAGGGGAAAAAATCCAAAAAATATTCTTCCAGTTCTTCATCGTCTATGTCTGCATGGGATTTATCTTCTGCACCAACAGTGATCCCAAAAGCAAACAGTGGCAGCCATGAACAAGTGGTAACCGGCAGAACTGGCTGGCTGTCATCGGCTCTGGTGGACATTCCCGACTGGTCGAAGATCTTAAAGAGGGATTCATCAAACCAAGAATTATGGGATGGTGAATGTGATTCTGATGATGGTACTAGGAAAAGATTGTTCGATGATTTTGAGACTGAAGACGGCAAAGAAATGGTTCCACCGCATGAATATTTAGCCCGGAGACTCGCCGTAACTCAGATTGCTTCATTTTCAATGTTAGAAGGTGTTGGAAGTACCCTCAAGGGACGAGATCTCAGCAAGTTAAGGAATGCCATTTTAACCAAAACCGGTTTTCTTGAATGAAACCTCCATGTCTACCACCGTCTAGACGGCTCGATTTGTGTGTCCCGTCTGGTCATTTCTTCATTTTTTTTCTCGTGTTACTAGGGTTGCTGAATATTTACTGATTTTAACATTTACCGCATGAGATTTTCCTTTTTTTTTTTTTTTTTTTTTTTTGTTGGGTGGTTTTTTTTTGGTATTTTTTTGTAGATGATGTTGTAATTGTTGGTGGTTGTGGTGAGGTGTTGGTCTCTATTCTCTGTGGATTTGAGGTGGTGACGACAACGGATTTGAGGTTTTTTGTTGCGGTGGTGGTGATTGTGGTGAGGATGGGGATGGAGACGGAGGTTGTCATTGTTGGTAGTTGTGATTTTTGTGGCTATTTTATAGTGGACCTGAGGTGGTTTTGTAGTAAATTTTGAGCTGGTGGTAGTGCAAGTGGTGATTCTAGTGCTAGGTTGGATTGAGTTGGGGATTAATCTGTGATCAATAAATAATTTGTGAAAAATAAATTAGTTAATTTGTGATGTTGATACAATGACCTATAACTTGTGCACAATGCCCTTTGACATGTAAACTGATAACATTTCACATGTCTTTGTATACTTATTACAGATCAATGGATCAAATAGAATTGATCACAGATCCATGAGTTATATTCATATTTTAATATTTATTGGTCATCGGTACACAACTATTATTAATGGATGATGAAAATTGCCCCACGTAGAGGGGAAGTTTCACAGGGTCAGGGGGCAGGTGTCCTCCTGTATTTGGCTAAAGCAGAACTCTGAATTCTCTTGTAGCATGTTTCATTATTGTACCCTGCTAATTGGACAATTTCCTGTCAGAACGGGGACGATGTCCAAGAGGGAAAACTCTTCATTATTGGTAATGTTAATAGACATGGTAATGGGTCGAGTTTGGAGTAGGGACTCGTCCCAACCAAGGGCGAAGTGGGGCGGGAGCTTGCCTTGTTTGCTGCTCCATTTATTTTATTTTTCTGCATTTTCAAAATTTTGAATTATACTATTATTAGATAATAAAATATAAATTCAAAACAAATAATGTTCAAACTAATAATCTTTTCCCTTCGCGGGTCGGGTTGGGGCCAACCTGTTGGGATGGATTTTTTGGCGTCGTTTGGAGCGGACCAGATTTTTTTGCCATCGCTAAATGTTAAAGAAATTATCAGTAGCAGGCTCTGAGATTTTTGTATGGAAGATTTGTGTTTCGGCCAGACATACTATTTGGATCCGGGTCCGGGTTCATGAAAGGAAAAGTTTAATTAATTAATTTATTGATGCTTTTTTATGTTTTATTATCTATATTTGCTGTTATTCTTCAGTTCTAATTTGTCTCCATGAACAAATAAATAAATAAAATACTGCAATTTTTACTAAACCTACTGTGACAATTCACAATTATTTTATTACAACGGATAACTAAATAATGTTTGATTGTGTTTAAAAGTAATTTTTATAACTGTTTATAATGTACGATTAAGAAACGCCAATAAAAATGATTCTTTAAAGAATATCGAAAAAAAAAAACCAAGCGTTGGCATAAGTTGTTTTCCAAAATCATTTTGTTATTTAAGAAATGTAGAAGTTAAAAAATTTAAATAATAAATGGTATAATTTATGCAATATTCATATTACTAATTGATCATATGTTGAAGATCCACTCACTACGTACCTATATTGAATGATTATAATTGTTAATTAATTAAAGCGAGGAAAGCAACTTTATTGTTACAGTATGTCACCTTCACTCTCTATTTTCCTAAATATAATTGAATGCTGAATAGAATAAGATATATTCTACATTTCACTAATTTAATTTGGGTGTTTTATTTTAGTCAAATTGGCAACTAGTAAAATATTTGGCTGAGCTTAAAAAATGTATAACATAGTTTTCACTAACTTTTACTCTCTAAACATATTAAAATAATTTATTTTCTTCTTACTTATAAATACGAAATTTACAATTTTGAAAATAAGTTTTACAATAATGTCAAAATATAAGTAATTTACTTATTTATGGCTTTCATCAATGAAAATTATATTCCCTCCGTCCCAATTATATAATCTTCTTGTGTTTTTTATACGAATTAAGAAATCTTTTTTAATGTTATTGGAAAATTAATTTTTGTTAAGATCTTTTCTAGGTTAATCCTATTTAATTTTCAGTATGTAGTAGTAGATTATTGCTGGAATTTATAAAGAATTTGAGTGATTTAATTTGAAGAAGAAGAAATGAGAGTTGTTCCATGTTTCCAAGAAATGGAAAATGTGTTAATTTGGATAATTTCAAGAAGTTCGCATATTAAGTGGGGATAATTAAATAAAGGTATTGATAAAAGAATAAAGTAAAATATTTTAAATTAGAAAACATACCTATATTTGGGACAAGAAAAAAATAAAACTCAGCTTAAATAATTACGACGAGGGGTACATTTTAAGCATTGTTAGTTTTTTATTAGATTATGTATTGGTTGTCGAGAAAAGTACATGTATTTATTCTCGAATTTGCGATGATAAGCAATCCCCTCCATTAGGTAAATTCTACCAAATTTTAAATGCTTCATTTATTGTGTAAGGAAGATAATCTCACTCCATGATTCTAGTACTAAAATTACTGTTTATTACATCAGATATGTATTATGCTATGTATTGGTTTGATGAAAATTTGGGGGCAAGTCGAGCTCCCGCAAGGTCAAATAACTTGCTAAGACCAATTTTTCGTGCCAAGAACAAAGTTCCACGTAAACATGAATTCTCAAAATCCCATTTTATTGAAAATTTTTAATTGTCAAATGCATTAGAAACGTCTTGTTTAAATGATGATTCAACGTAAGTACAAAGAACTTATTCCAATGCTACAAGATCATGTTTCACGGGGTGCCTTTCTTCTTGACACAGAAAGGGACACCGTGCGGCAGTAGTTTGCTCCGCAAGACTACCTTCCGCCTTTTCTCGATCGTGTTGGGACGAAAGAAAATTTGATTACAGTTTTGTAGAAAGCTTACAACAGAGAATTTAAATACATTAAAAGTAAATTGAACATTGATTGATGAAAACTGAACATTACAATTGACGAAGCAGAAAATTACAATTGTTGGTACCATTGAGTTTGAAAGATTTTTGAATGACTAATACCCCCTATAATAACATTCTGAACAAAAACTTAAGTGACAGGAGTAGACGTTTAAATGAGGAAGAATTATACTAAACGTTTACTAATATTATAGTTATTTTACAATTGAAATAACTATTACAATGAAAAGAAAATTACAACTCAAATTTGAACTAACATTTACAATGTGCGTTCGAAGATCGCAAACTGCGGCTGCGATTGTTTCAAGGGGCTAAGTAAAGCTGCGGTCCTTGACATTCTCCCCCATTTGTTTTGGCGACGTCCTCGGTGCCATCAATACATGATATGCTTCAATTAATGGTTTGAAGGCTCCTAGGTCCTTTTTCTCTTTCCCAAGTATTCTCATCGCTACTGCATCCAATCCATTTAACCAAGTACTCTTAATGATCTTTTCTAGAAGCTCGAGTGATTCTATGGTCAAGAATAGTTTCAGCAACCTTCTTTTCAACTTTCTTCAGTTCAAACATAGGTCGCTTTGGCTCATTTCTAGATCCATCCTCCTTATCTGCAAAGAATGAGTTTAGCACACTAACATGAAGAACCTTATGGATTTTACACCATGAAGGAAGGTCAACTCTGTATGCGACTCTTCCGATCCTCTTCAAGATGGGTAATGGTCCAATATATTTTGACGTCAATCTTGAGTCCTTCACTCTTGTCGATTTGTACACATTTCTGTTTGGAAGCTTAACCATTACCTAATCTCCAACATTGAATTCAAGGAAATGACGCTTTAGATTTGCAGACTTTTTGTACCGTTTTTTAGCTTTTTCAAGATAACTCCGAGCAATTTCAATATATCGTTTCCACTCTTGAGAAAAGTTCTTCGCTTGAGGAGACTTGGTACTTTCTTCAATATCCACTGTATGAGGGAGTAGCGGTTGCTGGCCAGTAACAATCTCAAAAGGACTCTTATTGGTGGAAGAACCCTTTTGGGCATTGAAGCAAATCTGAGCCGCATCCAAAAGTTTCACCCAGTTTTTTCGTGAAGTAGAGATAAAGTGCCGAAAATATTCTTCTAGCATAGAATTGAAGCGCTCCGTCTGTCCATCAGATTGTGGGTGGAAACTAGAACTCATGCTCAAAGTTGAACCAAGAAGTTTCAACAACTCAGTCCAAAATATGCCAGTGAAATGAGGATCTCGATCACTGACGATATCCTTAGGCAGTTCTCAGTATTTGACAATATGTTTGAAGAAGAGTTGAGCTATCTCTTCCGCGGATACATACTTAGGCGCGGCAATGAAAGTCTCGTATTTTGATAGACGGTCCACCACGACGATGAAAGTGCCAAAATCCTCAAGTTTTGGCAACACAATAAAGTAGTCCATCGATACACTTTCGAATGGCCGGGTTGGGACGGAAAGGGGCTCCAGCAAGCCCGTCTTTTTTTGATGATCTATCTTATCTTGCTGACAAATAAGATATGTTTTTACATAGGTTGCAATGTCATCCCGCATTTGAGGTCAGTAGTATGCACGTTGCAGCAGTGCACAAGTACGTTCCTCTCTGGGATGCCCTGACCAAATCGTGTCGTGGCATTCCGTAATTAGCGATTTTCTTAAATCTCCGCCCTTAGGAACATATAGGCGATCTCCATTAGTCTTCACTAGTTTCCTATCGAGCTAGAACTGTCGAGTTTTACCATGCTTGATGAGGTCGACCAAATATTGAGTAGCCGGGTCCTTATCCATAAGTACCGAATTTGGTCTCTTGTGTTCGTGGTGACGGCACTCCCTGAAAGGGCAGCCAAGTCAGCCCGTTGACTAAGAGCATCAGCAACATGATTACTAAATCCGGGACGATATTCTAGCATAAAATTGAACTCTGAAAGAAATTCCTACCAACGAGCTTGCTTGTTCAATAGTTTTGGTTGGGACATGAAGTGACTAACCACAGTGTTATCTATCTTCACAATAAATGGAGACCAAGCAAATAATGATGCCATCCTCTAAGACAGTGGACTACTGCCAACAATTCCTT